TCCGGACAGGTAAAATAGGGATGTTAAAAGGAGAGCAAGTTAGGATAAGTAGAACCAAAACTAGAAATTTTTTTATAAGGGTACTACTCAAGACCTGCTTGGACCTCGGGTTACAGAGGATACTGTTTATCACCGGGATATCCCTGCTGTGGTCTGAGCTGGACTGTAACCACTGGGCCATTTTGGGATGGCCCAGGGGACCGACATCCCAGATTACTGCTAGGATATCTGCCTCCCACTCTTGTTGACTTTGGCCTGAAACTTCTGAATCTGTTAAGGGACCTATGAGACTGGGTTCCTCCTGAGGGTATAAAGAACGCCAGGCTCGTGATTTAAAAAGCAAGTTGCATCCTAGCAGGTTGACAGGATAAGTAGGAATTACTGGAAATGAATGTTCAAGAATCACATCCTCCCACAAACACAGCAAAGGGAGAGTAAAGAATTGTTTGGTAGGGACCCCAGAGACTTGGTTGACCATATGGGATTGAGTGTTCAGTTTTCCAGAGTAGGTGAAGAGGACAGAGTAGGCAGTCCCAGTATCAAGAAGAAAATTTATTGGTCTGCGTCCCATCAGGAGGGTTACCCTTGGCTCCGGTCCAGCGATAGTCATCTGCCAGGGGCCTGATGGGTGCAGGCTCCTTCATTATTGTACCATGATCTGGTCAGGGGAAGGACTCCCTCCTGGGATGATCCCATAGGATAGAGTGTGGCCCAGTGATCTGTTTGTCGGGAGTGTGGCCCAGTGATCTGTTTGTCGGCACCAATGACAAGAATCCTTAAGTGGCCTATCCTTGTGGGGGCAGCCCAGTGCCCTTCCTGTCAGCAAATGTGGCACCAGAGGTCCCTTTGTTTGGTGGGGGCTTTAACCATTGGTCCGAATGTGAGTGCCAGTACCGCCATTAACTAGGCATGCCTAGCCACCTTCCTCCATTCCTTCTCCCGAGCCTGAGACTCGAGCTCAGAAGTTCTATTATAGAACAGAGTTAGCAGCAGCCACCTTATCATCCACAGAGGTGGCAGGGTCCTGGACGAGCTTCTGGAGGTTTCTCCTAATATTTGGTGCTGCTTGGGTCAAGAACTTATCTTTTTTTTTGAGAGTCTCACTCTGTTGCCCAGGCCTAGAGTGCCGTGGCGTCAGTCTAACTCACAACAACCTCAAACTCCTGGGCTCAAGCAATCTTCCTGCCTCAGTCTCCCGAGTAGCTGGGACTACAGGCATGCACCACCATGCCCGGCTAATTTTTTCTGTATATTTTTAGTTGTTCAGCTAATTTCTTTCTATTTTTAGTAGAGATGGGGTCTCGCTCTCACTCAGGCTGGTCTTGAAGTCCTGAACTCAAACGATCCTCCCACCTCGGCCTCTCAGAATGCTAGGATTACAGGCGTGAGCCACCACACCCAGCCAGGAATTTATCTTTTAATATCACCTGTCCTTCATAGGACTTAAGATTGAGAGTGGTATACTTCTTTATTGCCTCCTGGGGCTGATCCAGGAAGGCTATCGGGTTTTCCTTGGACCCCTGGGTTATGGCAGAGACCTTGGAATAATTGACCACTTTTTGCCTGATGGCCTTGAGGCCAGCCTGGATACATACCCAAAAAAGTTATCTCTCCTATCTCTCTCCTAAGGGACTATTACTCCATCCTGGGTCAGTCACGGGCACTGCTGTTTCACCCACTAAATATCTAGGATCTGAAAGATATAATCCAGTGGCAAACTTTTGTGCCTCCATTAACACTCTGGATTTCTCAAAACAGCATTCCCTGCAGCAGTGGCAACAGGCCGTCATTGAAGGGAGATCTGGGAGATTAATCCCAGTGTCCAGCACACCAGGGAATCAGAAGAAACTGGCCCCCATAGCAGAACCTGAGACTCAGAATGACGTACTGAAAGATGGCCATAAATTATTTTCATACATAAAATTATATTTTATGTGTTGTCTTAATCGGATAAATAAAGTCCTTTTGCCATGCCCTTAAAGGGAGGCTAATGGTGATTTTCTGTTTCCTCCTTCTACATTTATTAATTGGAATTCTACAAGGAAGAGCTATCCCTTTTCTAGTTATTACTCATATCAATATGAGTTCATGGGTTCTTACTCTATGGGTTATAATAGAATACCATCTTTATTTTTTCATTCAACTATCAGCTTTGGCCATTAGGAACTCCTTCAGGTTGGCTCCTGTGTTCTTTTAAGAAAACCCTGTCGGCTGGGCGCAGTGGCTCACGCCTGTAATCCTAGCACTCTGGGAGGCCAAGGCGGGTGGATCGTTTGACCTCCAGAATTCGAGGCCAGCCTGAGCAAGAGCGAGACCCCGTCTCTACCAAAAATAGAAAAAAGTTAATTGGACAGCTAAAAATATACAGAAAAAATTAGCCAGGCATGGTGGCGCATGCCTGTAGTCCCAGTTACTCGGGAGGCTGCGGCAGACGGATTGCTTGAGCCCAGGAGTTTGAGGTTCCTGTGAGCTAGGCTGACGCAATGGCACTGTAGCCTGGGGAACAAAATGAGAATCTGTCTCAAAAAAAAGAAAAGAAAACCCTGTCTTTTTGTGAGCTCTTTCTTGCCTTATGGCACCATAAGATCATCCACACTTAAATTTTCCTCTGCCCCAGCCCTGGAATAAACCATTTTTCCAAAGAGTCCTGGTTCCTTTTATTAGAGAATAATGTTAGAACCAAGATCTGGGGATTCAGTGTGCTCTTTGTTACTTGGGAGGATTTTCTTAAAACATGACAGTTTTAAGAACAATACTGTTATCACTTCTAAAATATTAACAATTCCTGAATATTGTCTAATGTCTGGTCAGTATAAAATTTCCCCAATTGTCTCAATATCTTAGAGTTGGTTTATTCAAACTAGGATGCAAACAAGGTTCAGTTTTTTTTAGTTGATATGTTTATATTTTGATCTATAACATTTTTCCCATTCTTTTTCCCCTTGCCATTTTTGAGAAACCAAGTCATTTTTTACCCTATGTGGTGGCTTTAGCTAATTGCATCCTGATGGTGTCATTTAATACATTTTCTACTCCTTGGTCAGATTCAGGTTTGTATTTTTGGCAAGAATATTTCATAGACGAGGCTTTATAGTTCCCATTGCATCACATCAGGAGGCCATGTAATATCTGGTTGCCTCTTTTTTGTGATGTCATAATTATTCTATGATTTCTGGTGTTTTTGGCCTGATCCTTCTATTATAAAATTTTGCACCAGTCTTTCACCTAATGGTTTTAACAGCCATTGATAATTATCGGGTAGATAATTTCATTAGAGGTTGCAAAATGATCAGATTCTAATTGTGTCATTCCTTTGGCATTTATTAGTTGGTTTGTACAGGAGAGACAGAATAAAAGCTTGATTCTTTCGTTAGTAACCTTGTGGTGACCAATGTGATTTGTTTCTCTATGTCAATATAAACTCATGAATTTTAACTAATTTAATTTTTTTGCAGTCATTATTTTTTTGACTGCTCAAATTTTTCTGTATTTGGCCAGTGAGATTGTCATGATCCTCTCCATAAGGAGGAGAAGGAGAGGAGAGGGGAGAGATAACAGGCACTCAGCAAGTGTGCGTGAACAATTTATTGTAAGAAAAGTTTCAGGGTGCAAAGTAAAAGTACAGTTCCTAAGGGGAAATGGGTCTGTCTCTGCAAGTGGAGAAGACACTGTCTTCTTCTGTGTTTTTCCTTTTATATGCTAATAGTATATGTTGACGTAAAGGTCAGTTATAATTATGACTATATGTCATGGGTTTTGGGGTCTAGATTTTTCCAGGTATGGTCATAACTTAAAGGTTATGTTCCAGACATCCTTTCTCCTATACATGTGATGGGGAAAGTCACTGTTTATTGTGTTTTTCTATTTTCTGATTGGTGGCCACTGTTCCATATTCTAATTACCCCATTCTTTAAGAGTGAAATAACTGTTTTCCCTAGTTGCTTTTCTTTAACTGTTTCCTCCTTCTTGTTTCTCTGCCTCTGTCATTCCATTCTCTCTTGTTTTTCTGTCCCTAACAGGCTCTTGTCTAACATGACCTCAATTGTCTTTTACAGCTTTCTTGCTTGCTGTACAAGATGTTGTAGGCTAATCTACATTTTTTCCCTCCATCTGAAATCAGCCATTTTCCTATTGAACCCTAGTTCCTTTTTAGGTGGAAATAGTGTTTTAAGACCATTCTTTGGGCTACTGGGATAGTCTCTGACTCTAGGCCTTTTTTTTTTGAAGAAAAATTCATCAGGTTGTATTCAGATTGCTCCTGTGTTCTTCTGAAAAAAACTTCATCCTTTTGTGAGCTCTTTCTTACTTTATGGCACCACACGATATTCCACACTCTTTTTGTACTTTTCCTGCCCCAGCCCAGGATTTTTTTTTTTTAATGAGAAAAATGCATCATAAACTCAAGCTTACAGAAATTTTTAATTTTTACATTCTTTAAGTTAGCTGTCTGTCTTCCCCTTTATTGACATTTACCTAATTTCTTTCCATGGTACTTGGTTCCAACTAAAGGGATCACAGATCAGTTTTTTCCCCTTTGGGGGATGGGGTGGGGGAGGGGTGTTAGATTCTGTGACTGAAACAAAAGGATGAGCTCAGTGTTCTGTGACAAATTTATGTAAATGTGTGTATAATATACACAAATAAATTATATATTAATGTTTTTTTTTATTTGCATTTTTTCTAAGGGGGTGGCCCTCTAGTCCTTTTTATGGAGTCCCCTCTGAGGCCCCAACCTTTGTTCAACTCTCAGGCTATCCTGGGAGGCTTTAGGAGGTGATAACCTGGTTACAGACCAACCAATATAGGTTCTTGGGGGTAGGGGACAGCAGGGGGGAGGAGGAGGGGAGGAAACGGGAGGTTGGAAGTAGGCAGCTGGAGCTGCGGCGCACCCAGGGCCTGAGCTGAGCTGTAGGGGCGGCGGACGGGGAGGTCGCGCCGGCCCCACGCCGCGGAGGGGGCGGGGCTAGGGCTGCGGGGTGGAGCCGGGAGCGCCGGCGGAGGCTTCGCGGCCAGGGGGCGGGGCGGGCTGCCGGGGGTGGCTAACGGCTGGCCCCTGCCGCCCTCGGGCTGCAAGCGGCGCCGCCTCCCTCCGCCGGTCCCGCCCCGGCTACTGCCCCGCGGATCTTTCCGTCCCGGGTCTGTCTCCGTGTCTCTGCCGTCGTCTTTCCAGCCGTCATCCCCTCTCTTCGCTTCTCGGGGCTCACCTCGGTGTCCTCCATCTGTTTTCTGTTTCTCCCCGTCCCTCTCCTCTCCGTCTCCGTCTCGCCAGCCTCGCTGCGGGTCATTCTGACATCTGAGACCTAAGGGCCTGTTCCCGCGCCCCATGGAAGAGTCCCCCGTGCCCAGCTCTGACCTGAGAGAGACCGAGGACCCGGGGTCTCGTGCAGGTGAGCGGGCTTGGGAGACAAGAGAGGCCCCCATAAAGTGGGCCACTCTGACCGTGGGCACAGGCTCAGCAGCGCCATCTGAGCTGAGGAAATCGTTGGGGTTTTTGGGGGTTTTTTTTTTGTTTTTTTAGAGACAGGTCTTCTGTCACACAGGCAGTGCAGTGCAGTGGCGGTAGTTCACTATAACTTGGAACTCCCAGGCCCAAGCGATTCTGCTGGGTAACTGAGACTACCGGCGCCTGCCATCCCACACGGCTAATTTTTCTTAATTGTTTTGTAGAGACAGAGGGTCTTGCTGTGTTGTCAGGCTGGTCTCCAACTTCTGGTCTCAAGCGAACTTCCCCACCTCGGCCTCCCAAAGTGTTGGGATTACAGGCCTGAATCCATTCTTGAGGGAATATTGAGTCAGAGCCACCCAGTCAGCAAGGAGTGACATGGCTGGACAGGGCTGTCCAGTTCTATTTTTGTTTTTTTCTCACTGATGCCATACTTTAACCTGGGAATTAGATTGCAAAGATGAAAGGAGACGGAGAGGGAAAAACCCTTCTTACAAGAGAGGAATCTGTAGGCAGCAGAAAGAGCCCTGAGCTAGAACTTAGGAGACCTGGGTCACGGTCCAGGTTTGCTACGTAGTGGCCTTCTATAAGCTTTTCCTCCTCTATGGGCCTGACTTTTCCCATCTGTACCTTGACAAGGTTTATTTAGCCTGCAGGATCTTCAAGGTCTGATACATGAAGGTATTGCTTAAATATTAATCATTAGGAGTAAGTGGGATAGGGAGGCTTCCTTCTGGGATTCACTGGAGTCTCATTGGGTTAATTGGAGGCTGTGGGATTACATTATTATTATAGCATGAGGAATAGATGGTGTTATCCCCATTTTACAAGTGAGGAAACTGAGGCTCAGAGGTAAAGTGACTTGCTAATAAGTGTCAAAGCCAGGTCAAACTTCAGAATCCATACTCTACTATTTCCCAGTAAGAAAGCAGGGAGGACTTGATTGGAAGGTGATTATATAGAGCAGCAATGAATAATTTGAATTCTCTGCTTACATGAACAACTCCAAAGCTGACCTATATCTATTCTTCTCCCTTCCTAGTTCCCGGCACACGTTTTGTTTGAAGGAGTTTGGGTGTCAATGCCAGAGCCCATATATGTTACTATTGTCATCAACATTATCACCATGGCCCTAACTAATAAAAATTAATGACTCTAATTGTGAAGACATCAAAATTTATAATAATTAAAAGACTTATTTATATTATATTATCTATTTATATTATTTATAGTATACTCTTTTATTTATATTATCTATGCATTTAAAGGTTATAAAGCATTTTTGAATGGTTCGTCATATTTATCCTCTTAGATGGGTATTATTATCCACATTTTATGAGCTAGGACTGACCTAGAGAGGTCATGGATTCTGGACTCTGCTAACCCCTTCAGTCCCAGCACAAGGTCACACCGCATAACAAATAGAGCTGTGACTTGAATCCAGTCCATATGACCAGTTGTGTTTCTCCTCTGGTGATCTCCCTATTTCTTCTCCCTTTCTTTTTCCTAGTCCGTCTCTTCCACTCCATGACTATCCTGTGCTCCATTCTTCTTATCACCTGTAGAATTGCCGTTTAGATGTTAGCTAATAGTCACATGTTGGCTGATGATTAGTAATGTTGGTATAACTTACAATTAAAGTGTTATCTTGTAAGATTTTAAAGTATGATCTTTTCCAGAGGTGAAGAGTGATTTAAATGCTTTTAATAAGGGGAGTTGTAATTGTTGCTATCATCATCATCATTATAATCCTAGGATTTAAGGAATAAAACTAGAATATGCAGTGATTGGTAGTCTAAAAATAATAACTGCCCTATATTGCACTCAAACTATGCCATAGGCCTTGTAACAGCCACTTTACCTAAGCAATTTAGTTTATTTCTATCAATTACTGTATCGAATTTTATAGGTGAGGATCCTGAAACAGGGAAGTAGAATAATGTGTCCAAGGTCATGTAGTCCTGCCGTGGTCCAAATGCTATGTTATTAACCATTATACCAGCCTGGCTCAGGGACAGATGTTTATTTAGAAGAAAGCCTGACCCTCTCGGGCAGGAGAGCCTGAACTCGGGCGAGACAGGAGTGCTCTAGTATTGTGTGGGGGAGACAGCCTACCCTTGCCTAGCTTTTGGTTCTTGTTTTGGGAGCCCAGGATTGGAGTGAGGGGAGGCTTTTCTTCTGGACTCAGCAAAACCTCCTCCCTTGCTCCCCTCTTGGTTCTTCCCTCTTCTTCAAGTTAGAAACAAGTGACTAAATGAATCATTCATATGCTTTTGGTGGAAGTTCATCTCCATTGACACTAGGAGGCCATCACCAAAAGCAATGCAACTTTGCCCTACAATTTATTGCCTAGAAAGCCGCCCGAAAGATTCGTCTAAAAGGATTATGCCATTCCTCTGTCAGAAACTCTTGAGTGGCCCTTATCTGTGGAATAAACACCTTAATAAGGTATCAAAGTCTCCTGGGATCTACACTCTGCTGGCCCCTTCAGTCCCATCTCTGCCCATAGCTTTTGCACTCCACCTCACTGTAGTCAGACAGAATCACCGAGAGTTCCCACAGCTCACTGTGTTTTCTGTCACCTGCAGACTTTTCCACCCCATCTGCCCTTCTCCATTTTACCCTCAGAGGGCTAACCCACTGCTCATTCTTTAAAATCCAGGCCACTCATCCATTCATTCATTCAACAAATTATTTGTTGAGTATACATCATCATGTACCAGGCATGGTTCTAGAGGTGGAAGTATAGCCTTGAATAAAACAGACATATCCTTGCCCTTTACGGAGCTCTGATTTTGTAGTATGTATTAAACAAGTGTAACATATGAGACATCAGAAGGTGATAAGTGTGTGGAGAATGGAGCAGGGAAAGAGGGTAGGAAGGGGCAACAGAGTTGTCAGAGAAGCCCTTGGTGATTGGGTGGTGCGTGAAGAGAGTGAAGGAGCTGAGAGAATGAGTTATGTGACTATCTGAAAGAAGTGTGTTCCACGAAGAGCATACAACTATGTGAGGCAGGAGCTTACTTATTCAGTTACTCCTGTCTCTAAAAATCCTTCTCTGGTGTCTTGATCTGCCCCTTTTTGTTTTCCTACTTGCTCTTGTATTTACCTCTAAAGCAGTCCTTATTACGTCATGTTATAATTGTCTGTTTCCCTCACTTGGATGTGGGTTTCTTGAGTCTTCTCTGTCTCCTCAGCACATGTCTTATGGCCTGACACAGAGTAGGCACCCAGAAATATTTATTGAATAAATGAAGAAGGCCTTAAAGGCCAAGTTCTTACAGCCTGATAAGACTTGTAAGACAAGTCTTATCAAATGACTTATGTTTTACAAATGTCTTACAAATGACTTGTAAGACAGAACTTGGATGACAGAGGGTTTGAAGAAAAAGCAATTCTGAGCCTGGTTTTTGTCTGTGTGGCTTGATTGCCTTTTTGGGCCTCTAAGAGTGAAACATTTGGCTTTCTTCGAGACTAGCACTTGGAGACTTCCACTGTCAGCATTACTGCAGGCTGGCTAACCTGTAAATGGTAGATAAAATGTAATAAAGCCCTTAATAGATGAATTTGAAAGAAAGTAGGAGAAATCTCCAGGGGCCAAGAAACCAAGCCTGAAGTGAAAACCAGAGTAGTTGGGGTCTTGACCTGCCCTCAGCTTTACTGGATGTTTGCTGGTTTTACTTAACTAGAAACTTTGGCTTTAATCAGCCTGTTAGCAAACAAACCTACAGGTCCACATGGTTTATACTCTAGGTTCCTTGAAAATCTACATTCTTTGTAGGGTGTACACCCTCTGGTAGAGTGAACTAGGGTCTTAGTCCATTTTCTGTTGTTTATGACAGAATACTTAAAACTGGGTAATTATAAAGAAAAGGAATATATTTCTTACAGTAATGGAGGATGAGAAGTCCAGGGTCCAGGGGGCCACGTCTGAGGATGGCTTTCTCGCTAGTGGGGACTATCTGCAGTTCTGAGGCAGTGCTAGGCATCACATGGCAAGGGGACTGAGCATGCTAACATGCTAGCTCAGGTCTCTCTCTCTCTCTCCTTTTATAAAGCCACTAATGCCACTCCCATTGATAACCCATTAATCTGTTAACCCATTCCTGAGGGTAGAGCCTCATGACCCAATCACCTCTTAAATGCCCCACCTCTCAGTACTGCTACATTGGGGATTAAGTTTCAACATGAGTTTGGGAGAGGACAAGCATTCAAACCATAGCAAACCATAGCAACTAGGAAAGAAAAAATCTCCCTGCTAACACAGAGAGATGATAAGGAATATTTCCTTTAATCCTAGCCTTTGGTACAGGAAAAGTTTTCCTGGACAATTCTAAACCACAGGCATTCACTCATGTGGATTTGAATTTATATTCTTATTACCCAAATGGCCTAGAAACCCCAAGCCAAGAAACTAACATTAGAAAACAGCCCAGGCTGGTAATGCCCCTGGGTTAATGAGTTATTATGGCAGGTGTTTGGCAGAAACAAATGTAGAATATCTCTGGAGAGACTCATACTTGACCCAGGCTGCTTAGGATTCTAATAGAGTCTGGAGAATAGATTTGTTAAATGAGAATGAATATTGCTTGCTTTGTGCTATTGAGACCATATGTTAACCTTGGATTAAAAAATAAACATGTGAGTACATCTGTGCTTCCCTTTTGCTCTCTAGAAATGGAATGATTGAGCAAAACTTATATGCAGGCCAACACATGGATATGGACACATATTGAGCTGCCTCCTGTCCTTGCAGAGGTCATGGAAGAAGTGACATCATGCTCCTTCAACAGCCCTCTGTTCCAGCAGGAAGACAAGAAAGGGGTTACCTACCGGATCCCAGCCCTGCTCTACGTGCCCCCAACCCACACCCTCCTGGCCTTTGCAGAGAAGCGCTCCACGGGCAGGGATGAGGATGCTCTCTACCTTGTGCTGAGGCGAGGGTTGAGGATCGGGCACTCGGTACAGGTGAATTCTCATCCCAGATCTGAGCCTGGGCCTCAGTTTCTCTCCACAGAGCTCAGAGCACTTCAGGGTCTGTTCCTTTTCCCATCAGTAGAGGAAAAGCCCTGTGTGGGGAGCTAAGGAGGAAAAAAACAGTAAAAAACAAATGGATCTTACCAAGTGCTTATTGTGTGCCTGGGGCATGTTGGGTCAGTCACATTTTGCAGATGAGGAAACAGGCTCAGAGAGGTTGCCATTTGCTCAGGAGGATGCAGCTATAATATAGCAGTAGAAGCAGACTTAAACTCAATCTCTGATTCCAGAGGCCTCCACGGTTCATTCAGAGTCAGCCAACATATGGCATGCTTTTCATTTATATTCCCTTTAATCTTCACAAATCACTCAAGTAAGCACTGTCAGTCCTGTTTTGTTGATGAAGGATCTTGGTGCTCTAAGGGGTATATAACTTGCTCAAGACCACATTTAACAGATGACCAAGGGGGGATAATAGTAACAACCATAGTGCTGCTACTACTAAGTGCTTTATGTTGGGTACATTTTAGCATCCCTATTTTATAGGAGGCAACTGGCCCTGAGAGTTAAGTGACTTGCTTTGGGCACACATGTAATAAGTGGCAGAACTGGAGTTGGAGCCCTTGCTCTTAAGCTGTATATTTTTATTGTGTTTTTAGTGAGGAAAAAAGGGTTGCTGGTCTTTGGCCTAGGCGCTATAGGGTTATTTTAGACCCTAAATTGGCATACCTTGAAGATACTATAGTTTTGGTTCCAGACCACCACAATACAGTAAATATTGCAATATAGTGAGTCACATTAACTTTTTGGTTTTTCAGTGCATATAAAAGTTATATTTACACTATAGTATAAGTAAGCAATAACATTGTCTAAAAAATGTACATGCCTTAATTTAAAAATATTTTATTGCTAAAAATTGCTAATGATCACCTGACCCTTCAGCATGTCATAATCTTTTTGCTGGTGGAGGGTCTTGCCTTTATGTTGATGGCTACTGACTGATCAGGATAGTAGTGGCTGTGGTAATTTCTTGGGTTTTTTTTGTAGATGCATTTTCTGCTTATGTATACAATTTCTTAAAATAAGAAAACAATGAAGTTGGCCACATAGATTGACTCTTGCTTTCATGAAAGATTTCTGTCACATGTCATACTATTTGATAGCATTTTCCCCATAGTAGAACTTCTTTCCAAATTGGAGTCAGTCCTCTCAAACCCTGCTGCTGCTTTATCAACTATGACAACAATCCTTTGTTGTCATTTCAACAGCATCTTCACCAGGAGCAGATTCTATCTCAAGAAACCACTTTTTTTGCTCATCCATAAGAAGCAATTCCTCATTCATTCAAGTTTTTATTTTTTATATATTTATTTTTGAGAGAAGATCTCACTGTAGAGTACAGAGGCCTCATCACAGCTTACTGTGATCTCTAACTCAGGCTCAGGCAATCCTCTTGCTTCAGCCTCCTGAGTAGATGGGACTACAGGTGTGCACCATGATGCCTGGCTAATTTTTCTATTTTTAGTAGAGATGGGGCCTCACTTTTGCTCAGGCTGGTCTCAAACTCTTGACCTCCAGCAATCCTCTCACCTTGGCGTCCCAGAGTGCTAGGATTATAGGAGTGAGCCACCACACCCAGTCCAGGCTCTAATTCTAATTCTAGTTCTCTTGCTATTTCTACCACATCTGCAGTTACTTCCTCCACTGAAGTCTTGAACCCTTCCATGTCATCCATGTGGGTTGGAATCAACTTCTTCCAAACTCCTGTTAATGTGGCTATATTGACCTCTTCCCATGAATCATGAATGTTTTGAATGGCATCCAGAATGGTGAATCCTTTCTGGAACATTTTCAATTTACTTTGCCCAGCTCCATCAGAGGAATCACTATGTATGACAAGGTAGACTTATAAAATATATCTATTTTATAGCTAAATAATAAGACTTGAAATTTGAAATGACTTGATCCATGGGCTGTAGAATGGATATTATGTTAGCAGGCATGAAAACAATGTTAATCTTGTACATCTCCATCAGAGCCCTTAGGTAACTGGGTGCATTGTCAATGAGCAGTAATATTTTGAAAGGAATCTTTTTTTTCTGCACAGTAGGTCCCAACAGTGTGCTTAAAACATTCATTAAACCATACTCTAAACAGATGTGCTGTCATTGGGCTTTATTGTTCCATTTATAGAGCATAGGCAGAGTAGATTTAGCAAAATTCTTAAGGATCCTAGGATTTTTGCTATAAATGAGCACTGGTTTCAACTTAAAGTCATCAGCTGTGTTAGCCCTTAATAAGAGTGTAAGCCTGTCCTTTGAAGCTTTGAGCCAGGCATTGACTTCTCTCTAGCTATGAAAGTCCTAGATGGCATCTTCTTCCAATAGAAGGCTGTTTTGTCTGCATTAAAAATTTGTTGTTTAGTGTAGCCACCTTCATAAATGATCTTAGCTAAATCTTCTGGATAATTTACTGCAGCTTCTACATTAGCACTTGCTGCTTCACCTTGTATTTTTATGTTCTGGAGATGGCTTCTTTTCTTAAACCTCATGAACCACCTTCTGCTAGTTTCCAACTTTTCTTCTACAGCTTTCTCACCTTTCTCAGCCCTCATAGAATTGAAGAGAATTAGGGCCTTGCTCTGGACTAGGCTTTGGTTTAAAGGAATGTTGTGGCTGGTTTGATTGATATAGACCACTGAAACTTTCTTATTATCATCAATAAGGCCATTTTGCTTTCTTATCATTCATGTGTTCACTGGAGTGGCACTTTTAATTTCTTGCAAGAACCTTTCCTTTGCATTTATGACTTGGCCAACTGTTTGGCACAAGACTAGCTTTTGGCTTATTTTGGCTTTCAATGTGCCTTCCTCACTAAGTGTAACCATTTCTAGCTTTTGATTTAAAGTGAGAGATGCTAGACAGTTCCTTTCACTTAAACACTTAGAGGCCATTGCAGGGTTATTAATTGGCCTAATTTCAATATTTTTGTGTCTCAGGGAATAGGAAGGCCCAAGGAGAGGGAGACAGACTCAGTAATAGCTGGTCAGTGGAGTAGTCAGAACATACACCACTTTTATCAATTGTTTGCTGTCTTATATGGGTGTGGTTTGTGGTGCCTCAAAATAATTACCATAGTAACATCAAAGATCACTGATCACAGACCACCATAACAGATATAATAATAATGACAAAGCTTGAGCTACTACGGGAATTACCAAAATGTGACACAGACACAAAGTGAACACATGCTATTAGAAAAATGATGCCCATAGACTTGCTCCATGCAGGGTTGCCACAAAACTTCAGTATCTGTGAAGTGCAATCAAGTGAAGCACAATAAAACAAGGTGTATGCCTGTTTCCTATTGTTGCCTTCTTTTCTACCAGGCCAGGCTAAAGTGAGTCAAATGAGATAATGGTTTTGAGAGTCTTTTGGAAAAAATATGTATTTATATCATTTCTTCCTCTCTGTGTAGATCTTTATAATAGGTACTTTAATTCCCCTAATCTGCCCTGCTTTTCTACCTACAGTTGTCTGAAATCTCACATTTAAACCTTCGTATCCATAGCGATGCCTTGTTCTGCTACTATGGTGCAAATGCCTTTGTGCTGAACATGGGCCTTTATAGCAACCCGTGTCCTTGCTTTTGATGACACTGGTTCAGGTTTCCCTATGGTGAAGTTTTTAACTTTAGGAAATTTTTCATTATCTTATCTTGTCAAGAGTCTAGCTCTTTCATTTCCTTTAGGATAGGCATTGCCTTTGGTCATGTTGCTTAGCTTTCCATCACAGTGTGATGTTAAACATTTTTTTTTTTTATGAAAAAAAATTTTTTTAAGACATGAGCTAGGCTGGCCTCAAACTCCTGGGCTCAAGCAATCCTCATGCCCCAGCCTTCCGAGTAGCTGAGACTACATGGACATGCCACTGTGCCTAACCTTTTTTTTTTTTAAATTAATTAATTTTTTTTTTAAGACTAGTCAAGTGCAGTAGTGAGAAGGGGTGAAAGTGGTAGAACAAGGAGTTCACTTTCTTTTTTTTTTTTTTTCTTTTTTGTTGGCCTCCTGGGCCAGAACTGCAGCAATAGAACAAGGAATTCAATCTGTAACTGACTGTGAACAATCAAGTGAGATAAGTCAACTACCTTTGGACCAGCCAATTAATTAATTTTTTGAGATAGGCTCCCTTTGTGTTACCCAGGCTGTGGTGTAGTGGCTATTCACAGACACAGTCATGGCACACGATAGCCTGGAACTCCTGGGTTCAAGTGGATCCTTTCATCTTAGCCTCCTAAGTAGCTGTGACTACAGGTGCAAGCCACTGTGCCCAGTAAGCATTTTGTATACGACCACACCTGTTGCATAACTTCACTACCTAGTAGTTACACACATTCACAAACTTATCCACTTTAACTTGTTCTCTCTTCTCTATTTACTTTCTTTCTCTGGTTTATTTAACTGTAAAGTCTTGAAGTTAGAAGAATCATTAGCCCAACTTCTTTCCCAATATAGAAATATTCTGTATTCTCTTGGTAGTTACTAATAGCTTAATGGTTAAGAGCATGGCTTTGGAGTTAGTCAAGACCTACCATTTATTGGCAGTGTGACCTTGGATACTTGACTCTGCCCTGTTTCATCATCTGCAACATATAATTAATAATAGACATTACATAGTAAGAGCTCAACAGTCATTTTCCATAAAGGGTCTGCTTGCACAACTCTTCAAGTGAGAGACTTAATACAGTGGCCACTGTGTGTGTGTGTGTTTTTTTTTTTTTTTAATGCGATGCTCCCTTCTTTCCTACTTTACCCATTGGTCTTCTTCTGCCTTCTGAGGCAATCTATACATAATGTAGATAAAGTCCCTTTTGCAAAGAACTACTCTTTGAAGTACGAGGAAGCTGTGTTCATGCCTTCTGGGTCTTCTATTTTCTGAGCTAAACAGCTTCATTTCTTTCAGTGGCGCATTAGGCCACAATCCTGATTTGGTTTCTAGTCCCTTGAAAATTGTGATTAACGTCCTTGGGATCTGGTCTGAGATGTCAGTGTCCCTTTTCAAAGTGTGATACTCAGAATTGAACTTGGGACTCCAAGGATAGACTGACCAGCTCAGCAATGACATATCCTAAGGTAAAATAGCATTTACTTCTTTGTCAGCTACATAACACAGTTAACTAATATTGAATAGATGGTTAGCCAGAACCTCCAAGTTTTTTTCACATTTGTTGTTCTTTTTAAAAAAATTTTAAATTGTGATAAAATATATCTATCTTAACCATTTTTTAAATGTATAGTTCAGTAATGTTAAGTGTATTCAAATTATTGTGCAACAAATCTCCAGGACTTTTCCACCTTTCAGAACTGAAAATTTATACCCATTAAACAGCTCCCCATTTCTCCCTCTCCTCAGCATGGCAACCACTATTCTACATTCTGTTTCTATAAATTTGGCTATTCTAGATACTTCATAAGTGGAATGGTATAGTGTTTGTCTTTTTGTGATGGTTTATTTTACTTAGTATATCGTTTTCAAGGTTCATCCATGTTGTAGCATGTGTCAGAATTTCTTTCCTCTTTAAGGCTGAATAATATACCATGGTATTTATATACTACATTTTGTTTATCCATTTATCTCTTGATAGACACTTGGGTTGCTCCCACCTATTGGCTGTTGTGAATAACATTGCCATGAATTAAGGGTATGAAAATATCTCTATGATCCTGCTTTTAATTTTTTTTGAGATATATATACACATACACACACACACATACACACACACACACACACACACACACCTGGAAGTGGAATTGCTGGATCATAGATAAATCTTTTTTATTTTGAGGCAGGGTCTTACCCTGTTTTCTAGACTAGAGTGCAGTGGCGTCATAGCTCACTATAATCTCAAACTCCTGGGCTCAAGCTATCCTCCTCCCTCAGCCTCCTGAGTAGCTGAAACTACAGGCACACACCCCTGTAGCCAGCTAATTTTTAAAATTTTTTTGTAGAGACGAGGTCTCACTATTGCTCTGGCTAGTCTTGAACTCCTGGGCTCAAGTAATCCTCCGAAAATGCTAGGATTACATACATAAGCCACCATGGCTGGCCACATATGTTAATTCTGTATGTAATTTTTTGAGAAACTGGCATACCATTTTCCATAGTGGCTGCACCATTTTCCATTCGCATCAACGGTGCACCTGGGTTCCAGTTTCTCCACACCCTCGTCAACACTTGTTATCTTCTGTTTGTGTGGGGTGTGGGAGTGGGGGTGGGAGGTTGTAATAGTTATCATAATGGTATGAGGTGTTATCTCTTTGTGATTTTGATTTGCATTTCCCTAATAACTAGTGATGCTGAGCATCCTTTCATATTCTTTTTGACCATTACATTTGTTCTTTAATCTGGTTTCCCATCCAGATTTTTAAGCCCATGACTTTGTTTTATCTCTGTCAAGCCTCAGCTTGTTTACTATATCTCATTGCTCCAGCTGGATGAGATCATCTTAGATTCCAAGGCTTTTCTGCTTTACTTACTGTTTCTTCCACCTTCACGTCAAGTATATATTGGACATATCTGGCCAGCCCAAATCACTTTCTCTTCTCATTTCATCCACTAAGGATGACTGAGCTTCTGACTTCCCAACAGCTAGACTGCTCAATAAGGTGTGTAGAGTACACGAGGCACTCTGGCTAGAATGGGTTGTCCCAGGGATACTGAATTCCCTGTCACTAGACTAGTTCAAGGGGATACTGAATAGTCTTTTATCCAGAAGACTTGGAGGAGACTCTTCTGTGAGATGGGAATTGACACTAGATAACTCCTGTGGTCTTTTATGGCTCTGAGATTCTGTGATCTGAGCTTTGCTTAATCTGTTTTGCCAGTTCATAGAGAAATTAATGTTTTTTAAATGTATTTTTGTTCAAGATAGTTAAGATTAATACATTCATATAGCTGAAAAATAAAAACAGTATTAAAAGGTACGCATCCCATTCCCATTCCTCTACCTCCTATAAGCAGTCATTTTTTTCTTATCTTTCCAGTGCTACTTCATACAGAAGCAAAGAAAAATAAGTACATATTCTTAACACCCCTTTTTAAACCTTTTTAAAATGTGAAGTGATAACATATACTCATAAAACATAACATAAATGTCAAATGCACAAAACAGAAATAAATGTAAACTTGATTAATTATGACAGAACTATATTTTTGGACTCATTATACATAAAAATCACTACCAGTATTCCAAGAAATAGCATATTGCCAGCACCTGAGAAACTTCTCTTCTGACCCTTCTCTCTGTGCTGATTTATAGCTCTAGAGTTGAGTTTAGCTTGTTTTTAATCTATGTATTCTTTATGTCTGGCTTTTTTTGTTCAATATTACGTTCTTGAGATTTACCCAAATTATGTCAAACTGTAATTTGTTTACTTCCATTGTTACATAGTATATTCCATTGTGTGCATATACAACCATTAAGAGACCCATCCTACTGTTGTTGGCTGTTTGGGTACACTATTATTAGTATAGATAGTGCCACTATGAATGTGACACTATGGGCATGCATTTTCGCTGTGCATATACCTAGGAGTGGAATTACTGGATCATATGGTATGTGTATGTTATACTTCAGTAGATAATGCCAGCCAATTTTCTAGAGTGGTGGTTGTAAGGGCTGGTTTGCCTTCTTTCCATCCTTATTTCTAGGATTTAGCCCTTTAATGTTCTGTCTCAAATTATGCAGGATTTACCAGAGCCTCTAAGTTTTGTCCTCCTAGCCCCAAAAGGCTGCCAAATGAATCGCTCAGCTTCTTAGCCTCTCAATTACCTCTTTGGGAAATCTTAGGGCTACCCTGAAGGGAAAGGCGACTTGAAGTACCCAGCCAACCTCTGAAGGAACACTCAGTTCCTGGCATATAATTCATCTTGCCTTGTTTGCTCTCTGGTGCTTTCGAACAGGTAGTTTTGTTTTTGTTTTAATATTTTTTCTATCTTTTCTAGTTCTCAGTGGAAGTTGGTCAAATTATTTAGTTTCCTGTAACCGGAAGTCCCTTTCCTCCACATTTCTTAGGCAAATAGTAGCATGTTACATACACTGTTCTGTGTTTTGCTTTGTCCAGTTAATAATATATTATGGAAGTCTTTCCATATCAGTATATATGGAAAAAAGGTCTTCTTTTAAAAAAATTTTTTAATTTTTAATTATTTTTTTATTTGGTCTTCCTTTTTTTTATAAATCCCATGTATTATGTGTTAATTTCACCAGTCCTCTAGTGATGAATATTTGGGCTGTATGCAGTATTTTGCTATTTCAAGCAATGCTACAGTGAATAATATTATATATACTTAATTTGATGAGCAGATACATCTTAGGATAAATTCCCAGAATTGGACATGCTAGGAAAGCATAAGTATATTTGTAATTTGATATGTCCTATATAAGGATTGAACCATGTACATGTCAATTGATATATATGAGAGTACCTGTTTCTTCACACATTTTTGTCAACAGAGTATATTGTCAAGTTTTATGATTTTGCCAATTTGTTAGATGAAAAATGCTATGTCAATTTAGTTTTAATTTGCATTTCTTTTTTATGTATGAGGTTGAACATATTTTTTTTTTTTCTTTTTCTGGTAGTTGTCTGATTTTCCCTTTGCCCATTTCTATTGGGTTCTTAGAAATTTTCTTACCAATTTCTATTATTGTTTTAAAAACATATCAAGGAGATTAGACTTTGCTTTGTGATATATCTGATTAGGCATTATCTCATTATATCCTTGTAATAGCTCCTCTGTGAGGACGTTATTAAATTCTCCATTTAACAAAAGAAGAAATTCAGGTAAAGTTAAGTAATTTGGCCAAAGTCACAAAATAAGTGATAAAAAGCAGGGTTTGAACTAGGTGCCTCTGACTCCAAGCTTGGGCTTTCAATAACACTGTTATGAATTGCCTTCTCAGTACAGAAAGGAAAAAAATGTTTGTCTTAAATTTTCCCTTATTTGCCTAAAACTTCCCTATTTGCCTGCCTTGATTTTCTTCCTTTTCTTTTCCCTTTCCTTTCTTCCTTCTTTCCTCCCTTTCTATTCTTCTTTACTCCTTTTTTTTCTTTATAAAAATGTTTATTTAGCTCCTATTGTGTGACACATCTGGAGGTAAAAAATTAGTATAATTTGGTTTCTACCTTCAAAAGGCTCCTAGTCTAGGAAGGGAGACAGTTATGGAAAGATTACATTGTTATGCAATAAATGCTATAATTTGTTACGGAGTTTCAGGGAAGGCTTCATAAAGGAGTGACTTTTGAGTTGGGTATTGGAGGATGATTTGAAAGTCTAGATAAAGTGAGGAAGAGTATTCCAGACAGAGGGGACAGCATGTGTAATATTTAGCATTGTCTCTTTCTAGCTCTATGAGTCATCCTATAATACTTAAGCATTTAGTGATATTTAGGCCTTTATGATTTTATAGATTTCAACATCATTTATTTCTTTTTTATTTTTCGAGATAGAGTCTCACTCTTGCCTGGGCTAGAGTGCTGTGACATCAGCCTAGCTCACAGCAACCTCAAACTCCTGGGCTCAAAGCGATCCTTCTGCCTCAGCCTCCCAAGTAGCTGGGACTACAGGCAGGCACCACCATGCCTGGCTAATTTCTTTTATATATATATATAAAATATATATATGTATATATTTTAGTTGGCCAATTACTTTCTATTTTAGTAGAGACAGGGTCTCGCTATTGCTCAGGCTGGTCTTGAACTCCTGACCTTGAGCTATCCTCCTGCCTCCATCTCCCAGAGTGCTAGGATTACAGGTGTGAGCCACCATGCCCAGCCCCAATATCATTTATTTCTTATTTATGAAAAGTACTAATACTTTTAATGAGCCTCATATCTTCCTGTTAGTATCTCACTCCTACTTTCTCTCTCTCACGTCCCCTTGTCTAGTGGGGACCTCTGAAGCCACTGATGGAAGCCACACTGCCTGGGCATCGGACCATGAACCCCTGTCCTGTGTGGGAGCAGAAGAATGGTTGTGTGTTCCTGTTCTTCATCTGTGTGTGGGACCATGTCACTGAGCGTCAACAGATCATGTCGGGCAGGAATGCTGCCCGCCTCTGCTTCATCTGCAGTCAGGATGCTGGGTGTTCATGGAGTGAAGTGAGGGACTTGACTGAGGAGGTCTTTGGCCCTGAGATGAAACGCTGGGCCACGTTTGCTGTGGGCCCAGGTCACGGCGTCCAGCTGCAGTCGGGGAGGCTGGTCATCCCTGCATACACCTACTACATCCCTTACTGGTTCTTTTGCTTGAGGCTACCATGTATAGCCAGGTCTCATTCTCTGATGATCTACAGTGATGACCTAGGGGTCACATGGCACCGTGGCAGTCTTATTAGGCCCACGGTGACAGGGGAGTGCCAAGTGGCAGAGGTAACTGGGAGGGCTGGCCACCCTGTGCTATATTGCAGTGCCAGGACACCAAACAGGCACCGGGCAGAGGCTTTCAGCACTAACCATGGTGAATGCTTTCAGAGACCAGCACTGAGCCGACAGCTCTGTGAGCCCCGGTGTGGCTGCCAAGGCAGTGTGGTGAGTTTCTTGCCCCTGGGGATCCCACATAGGTGCCAGGACCCTAGTGGCAAAGATGCTTCCACCATTCAGCAGAGCCTTCTGCCAGAGGGTTCACTGCGGCTGGAGGAAGAAGCTGGAATACCCTCAGAATCGTGGCTCTTGTACTCCCACCCAGTCAGTAAGAAACAGAGGGTTGACCTAGGTATCTACCTCAACCAGACCCCCTTGGAGGCTGCCTGCTGGTCCCGCCCCTGGATCTTGCACTGTGGGCCCTGTGGCTACTCTGATCTGGCTACTCTGGAGGAGGAGGGCTTGTTTGGGTGTTTGTTTGAATGTGGGATCAAGCAAGAGTGCGAGCAGATTGCCTTCCGCCTGTTTACAGACCAAGAGATCCTGAGCCATGTGCAGGAGGACTGCACCAGCCCTGGTAGGAATCTGAGCCAATTCAAGACTGACTAATTGGCTTAGGACCCAACCTTCTGTAGAAGGAAATGGCAACCACAAGCAAGATAACAGAGGTTACTAGAGCCTACAGAGAATCTCAAAACTTAATATTTTATTCCCTACCTTTTTTTCACTTCTGCCCCTCCAAAGAACAACATGAAAATTTTACCATAGCTACTGCAGTGGAAAGAACACTGAACTGGGAGTTGGAAGACCAGGATGTGGTCCTGGCTTTGCCACTTGCTTACTTTAGGATGTTGGACATGTCAACTGATCTCTGGGCCTCAGGTCTCCATCTATAAAATGAGAGGATTGGTTCTGTGATTTCTCATCTTCCCATCCCTAAGAGAGGCAGAGTGCCTGCATGCTCCATGATTCGCAAGTCCTGGCTGCTTACAGGACTCTGGTCTCACAACGGGAATCAGAGGACTTATTTTGTCAAATGACTTGCCTGCCCCTCATCCAAGTGTGAGGTTACAAGTAGGTGTCATGGCAGAAAGGAAGATCAGATGGTTTGTTCCATTTTTTAATAACAAAACCACTTTTATCCTTCTAATCATGTTCAGAGCTGTGTAGGCTCTCTATCCTAGAGGAATTGAGCAAAACAGTAGAATCATGAGGTCATCTACCTTCTCCAGCTTTGTATCTCTGCTCAACCTTCCTTTCCTCATTCAGAAAGCATCATTTTCTTGGGAGAAAAATGAGAAGCTCAATGCCAGTGGCCCTTGATAATAGTGCTTATTGCATCTGATGGCACTACCTCAGTGAAAGATGAGCTTGAAGTTCATTTATTAGAATGGTTCCTGATGTGAAAAGGACATGGGTTAGGACTTTAAAACATTGGACGAAACTTCCTACAATCTCTGCCCTCAAGGATTCACAGTTTATGGGGCTAGAATAAGGAAAAAAAAAAAAAAAGAAAATAAATGCCGCTGATGGGATGGTTTGAAGATTTTGGGCTACATGGTGGGGTGATGACAACTCCTGATGTCATTGTCTTAGTTGCATCTTCAGTGCACCTGTATTCATCTGTCCAAGGGCTTGTCCCAGCTGCTAGGTTTCCCTCAAGTTTGTTCTTAGAATGTTGTCCTGGCGCAGCTGCTCTTTTACATGTGGACAAGGTCTTCACAGTTAGGTCTGGACCTCAAACCTCTGCATCAGGCCTATTCGTTTGGACCCACTGGAATCACTACTTGTAAAGAAGGGGTGCCTTTAAGCTTTGGCACTGAACTTAGTCTGACCTTAGTCTCTCAGGTGATACCAGATTGGTTTGTTCCTATCCCACAGCCTGTTATTGTGGCAGAAATTCTATCATGATAGATTTATTTTTTGTGCCTATTGGAGGAGAATAGTGCCTTAAAGTGGTATCAACTAAATATATTTGGTGCTGGGTAATGACCTCAGTGAGTGACTCTTAGTCACAGAATAGAGCCTAGGAGGCTGTGGGTTGCAATTGTACCAGTTGGGTGGAGGAGAGACCTACAGGTTGAAAGTAGAGAGGTTACCTTTGCCTACTTCAGCATATTGCTTAAGGTCATGGCTTAGTGTCTTTAAAAAATTCCTTTAGCCTCGTACATTTGCCAAACTATCTTCCTAATACGTAGTTATGGTAATTCATTCACTCATGTATACATTTATCTAAATATTTCTTGAGTGCATAATGCAAGGTACTTTTTGTTGTCATTCCTTGGTTCAGAGTCATCTGTGGCTCCCTACTGCCTACTGAGGGATGTTTACATTTAGCCTGACATGCAAGCTAAGTCCAGTTGTTGGATGAAGTAATGTATAACTACTTCCCCTCTACTTCCTTATGTGAAGCCCAGTGTCAGGGAAGAGTTCTGTCAGATTGGCAAGTGGAGGATGGTGGGCATCTAGGGATGGGCAGGGTTGGTGGTGCATGGGGAAATTGGGGAAGGGGAGAGGATTAAAAAGGCAGCCCCCTCCTGAGTGGTAGAAACTCCTTGTTCAGCAGAGCTTTCCTGAGTACTATACTGCAAGCAGATAGGAATAAGAAGGATGGCTAAGTCCTGTAATCAGGGCTAAAGGATGCAGAGAATGAGAATATCGGGGTTTCTTTAGGACTATCCAAGAAGGGAGTCAAGGCAGGGACCTTGGTCCCATGCCAGTTGGACCAGAGATGTCTACTCCCAGTGCTCACAAGAGGCCCATCTCTAAATTGGCGTCCTCTTACTCCTTCTCCATGCCTCATATTTGCTGCTTCTTAATGACTAGCACTGAAACTCTTATTTTTATTTATTTATTTATTTATTTTTCTTTATGAGGGAAAAATCTAGAGAATGAAACTCTTAATTGGGAAAGAGCCTATGTGCTTATTGCAGGAATAGTAACAAGAGAGGGTTGGGACAGGGGAAATCCAGAATGAGGACTCAAGAGAGGAACAGTAGGTGATGGCAGCTGTGAAGAAAAAGAACAGCAGATCAGAGTGCTGGCACCTTAGGGAGAGAGAGAAAGTGGCATAGACGTGAGGCCTAGGCTAGAGAGATGGTGTAGGTGGTAGCTGCTGTGAAGAAGAAATGAGGACAGGCTGGGGCTGTTCCCTGAAACCTGTGAGAGGGGAGAGAGACCTGCACAGGCCAGCAGCTTAGCCTGCAGAGAAGGTCCCACCCAACCCTGTATCTGTAAGCTGGTTTAATTTGCCCATGTGGGTACGCCAACTGTGTGCCAGTTACCCAAGGCCCTCAGGGACCTATACCATGATACTGGTAGCCTAACTGAGCCCATTTCAGCCGCCCTCAGATTTGCAGGGTGGAAAACATAGGGCAGGTGGTGGCAGCTGTGAAGAAAAGAGGAAAGCAGGTAGAAGCCTATAAAGTATAGGCATGAAAAAAGGACTAATAGGCTGTAGTCCTTTGCCCTCAGCAGCCCCTATCCTGTCCCTTGGACCCTTGTAGAATGGATCCATCCTGCATACATGCCCACCATGGGGAGTGTAGGAAGGATGGGGGGGGTCCTCCTGCAGCTGGTATGTACTCAGACTAGCCTCCTACCCATTCAGCCTGCCTGTCCTGCTCATGCCTTTAAGATTCAAAGCAAGGCTGTTACTGTTTTAATGCTTCATTTGGGCCTGTTTCTCCTGGTCACCAGTCTCGCCTCACATATCCACAGGATATCATGCAGCTGCAGCCATAGGCGAGGGACTTTTCACCCTGCCTGTTGGGTAGCCCAAAGGACCCCTGGAGGTCAGCCTAAGGCCGCACTGCCTCCTCTGGGGGCAGTAGGGATTCATATCTCACTTTACTCAGATGAAGCTGCTCACTCATAGGCCCTAAGAGTTCCTGCATTATTCCAGTAGGTGCCTTGTCATCCTTCTCTGTGGTGCCAGAGTTCACAGTCTGAGCTTCCCTTTGGTCCTTCCCACAGGCTGCCTTGGATTGCTGTCTGTGTGGTACCCTCTAGGCCTCTTCTAAGCTGTGAACTGTGTCCTTGTTACTTTGAGTCACAGTGACTTATCTGTAAATATATGCATTTTCTATGGTATTCCGAATCCCCTGAAGGTAAGGGCTATGTCAGATTCTTCTCTTTGTCCTCTGACCCAGCACAGAGCCTGGACAGAGTAGACAGTCATAAAGATATGCTGAATGAATGGGTCAAGGACCCTCGGCCTTCTAGAGCTAATTGAGGAGGCCGGGTGAGTTCGTCACAGGGAGGAGGATGTTGCATCACTCTTTAGATTGTGTAACATTTGAAACCTGCTGAACTCTTAGCCTAAGTAAGTCTGCCCTGCCCTGCCCTGCTCCAGGTCAAGTTATACCACTTCCTGGAAATGGGCTATTCTCTGGCTGGAACTTGGTCCTGTCTGGATGTCCCACAGATCATAGCCTAAGCCCAAAGCCAAGTCTTGATTTGGGTTTTCATTTAAGTGGCATTTCCCCTCTGTCCCTGATTGGATTTTCTATAACTGCCACTTCTGCAGGACTCCAGGGGAGATGCTGAGGCTCAGTGTGTTCTGAGTGTGTCTTGGCTCTATGATGCCAAGTGCCCGGAATGTTCTCTGAACCATCAAAACTACCATCATCCTTTGAAATGAGAAAGATGAATAAAGAGCTTAATTCTGGAGACTACTGTTTTTTTATTAAGGAAATTGAGAGATGATTATCATTCTAATATCTAGTTTGTACCAAACTTCTTTCAAAAAATGAATTTGAGGTAATTTTTTGCTTTTCATAAGAACTTTTACTTTCAGAAAACTTTGTTAATAATAATCCTTTGAACTTTTATATATTGTCATTTGAACATAACTGCCTATTAAGGGAAGCAGGACAGGGTTACCATGACTGGTCTGAGAGTGCACTGTACACTAGCTTTTACCTAGAGGAGCCGAGGCACAGAATCACAGCACTGACCGTGTTTCCAGTGCTTGTCACTGCATATTTTATTCTCTTTTCAAAACACCTTGAGGTTAATCTCAAATTGTAGCTGAAGAGGCCACCAATACTTACCTAAATAAAATAGAGTGATGGCTTTAACTTCTGCTTTTTACTTGACTTCTTCCATTGGGATGCTTAAGGCACTGTTGCATTTGGCCAGATGTTTCAGGGTAACTCCTTAAGTTCTGTCAGTAGGTCAGTCTGCTTTCTTAAATTCACTATTGAAAAGGTTTCTAGTGAGCATATCTTTTGTTATAACACAAGTCATATAATGATGAAAGAATAAATGAAGTTCAGAGAACTCGTTTCCCTTTTGAAATAGTTTTATAATAATTTTTTACACAATCAATAAAAAGATATCAAATGATCTATTTTATTTTTGTGGTTTTTTTATTAATAGATTGCTCAATGTCTGAGAGGTCTTTGGGCTTGAGAGGAATATGCACAACTATATAAATTTTAGTGCTCAGTTTATTAAACTCATATCCAATGAAACATTGAGAAACTCTTGAATATTTAAACAATAATAAACTTGATTAAACTGCCTTAAACATAAATACCAATTACAAATTTAGCACATCTGATGATTTTGAACATTTCAACCATAAATAGTAGACAAAACCTAAAGAAATCCAGTATTATAAAACATATCCTTATATCAGAATGGAGCACAAAAGAGTTGGTGACATGAATTTAACTTTGTTACTTACTATACTTTTGAGGAGTTCTAACTTTTAAACCTTTCTAGGCTTTCAGTAACTTTACCAGACTTTCCCCCCTATCTTCCTAGGGATTTAGTAATGGCAGATCCAACAGAAAAAGAGTACCATTTCAGACAAGCTCTCTTTCCACTGGGAGCACTAAACTGGGAGGTTGAAGGCCTGGAACCACAGACAAAAATCCTCGGCTGGTGCTGAGTACCCATATTCAGTAGAAATCTGAAAGAGGGGAGCCAGGCAGAAACAGGGCACAGCTTGAGAGGCAGCAAGAGTCCTGATGACATGTAGTAGGGTCCTTCACAGTTGTGGGAACCGGTAGTAACTCCCTAACCTTTATTTTATTTATTACTTAAGCTAGTTTGAGTTGGATGTATATAGGTTGCAACCAAAAGAATTTAAATACCCATGCTCACAGAAAATTTGTACCACAACCTGTTAGTTACTACCTAGAGCCGTGAGAAATTTCAATATGACTTTCAATATGGTCTACTAAAGTTAGATGAACAGTGTTACCTGAAGGATACATTACCAAGAGAGCCAGTGGGATAGAATGGAGAGAGGACAACTAGGAAGGATTCTGGAGCCCAGGGCCCTTGTCCTAGAGCTTGCCACTCACATGGTGCATGACTGTGCAAGCCACTGACCCTCTCTGGGAGTCAGTGTGCTCAGCTTTATCCTGAACACAGCCTTACCCTGCCACCTTGCCAGGGGCTACATGGAGCTCAGGAGCTAGTGAATCCTCAGAAGAGTTTAGCAAACAGTGAAGTGTTGTGTAAGTAGGAGAAGATAGATTACCTTTATCCTCCCTTTG